GAAGTCATGTGTCATGCCTCTTGCAAAAATGCTGCTCATCACAGTGACTGCAACATGACTTGCCGCCTCTTCAAGCACGATGTTCCTAGAAAGGGGTCGTTACCCTGATACGACTGGACAGTATAAGGTGTGTAAGGAAGGACTCTAGACTACTTTGAGAATAGCTACCAGGTATTAATGACAAGCATGTGGGAGTTATTACACCAGGATTACTGAAGGTGTCAAATTGGTACACCGAATTTACTTGAATCTGGAACTGCATGTTCCAGTTTGTAAGCGGAGGTAACATCGAAAAAAACATCGGCACTGACAGTATTATTACATGGAGAACTCACTCCTGGATACTTTGCATGGTAATGTGACGATGTAACTGGCATAGAAGCACTCAAACCTAATTGTGTATTATACTAAAAATGCCAAAAATGTACCATTACCAAAGACTCTTGTGTTCTATTTGCCATGACACTGTGGGAGTTGAATCTTTAGCATATAAGCAAACAAACTTGTAGCATGCTATTACCTACAGAACCAAGATAATAACTTGAGCTGTAGCAAAAGAAGCAGAGTCTTCCTGCATATTTTATAACTTTAGTCCTTGTATGGATCACTAAAATCCCCAACTCCAGTCATCTCTAAAGATATGACCCTTCTTACAACACAATGTATGTTCATTCACCTAACTGAACAAGCTGCCAGACAGCTTTCCTTGAATGCCATTTAGGAACAAAGTTGCAACCTATGTGAAGATATCAGCCAAGTAAAGTCTTGGTCCTAGCTTCCTAGGGGTTCTCAGCCTGTTTATTATACAGGAAATACACGACTCAAAGAACTGCTATCACAAGTATAAAAATGGCTGACATTTGTCACCTTCTTAAAAACCACATTGTTTCTTCTAATACCTAAACAGTAACTGAAAGTATCTTTGTCCTGTTTCAAAGACATGGCAGAGTTATGGGCATGGCTAACACATGGGCAAATAGGACGGGGTCGGGGCAAGACATGCTACCCCAAAACAAGGTTACTGGTGCAGCTTGTACTTCACAATAGTAACCATAACAGCCTTTCAGCTTATGCAAAACATGCATCCTAATAACTCATACTGATGACATGGTATCAAATAGGCTCATACTTTTCTGTTTCAATCTAAAACACTAACACCAATCATGAGCAAGTTTAAAGCACTTGTGGTGCTGATGTGGAGAACGGTCATGCAGAACAAACATGGACCGAGTATAAAACACATTTAGTACATCAAAGAACTAGAGCCATAACACTAATTCAGCAAGAAGAATCATTTTCTTGTTTTTCTTTACAAAACAAAAGGAAAATCAAAAGGTGCTTTATTAGAGTTATGTGCCCAGGATTGAAAGTGTGGATCCACATTGATTGAAAGTATACTTTACGGAGACTGATCCTGCACTATCTCAGTGGGTGAACACTTCTGAGCCCCGACCCCTTGAATTTACCATTATTTGTCATTTAGGCAATGGTTGGTGCTGAGAAGTGTAGAGAAATCCAGTATCACAATGGTTACACGTTGTTGGAAAGTCTAAATCTGGATGTCTTTTCTTGATTTAGCATTTGAAGTTACCACATATTACTTGGGCAATTTATCCTTCAGTGCAATGAAAGACTTCACTCTAAGAAGGGAAATGTACAACTCGATTCTTTGTGGCAACTGGAATGTAATTCAAGAAACGGCATCTAAATTGCTCCCTTAGACATTTAGGCATATTTAAAAATATACCATAACAATGGAGGATATAGATCTACTGTATAGATTTATTATCATGAGGAAGAGGCAGATGTATGGTCAGTGCTTGCATGACAACTCTGTTCACAGATCCAAAGCAATACCTATATTGGATTGTCAAGTGTCTCCGGGAACACCTTGCATTCTTTGTCATCCAAAACATATTCCTTTCCTTCCTAATTAAATGTGAGCAACTAATTTTGAGTTCCGATAATAAGGGCTAATGTGTTTCTTCTTCTTGACAAATTTAGACTTCCGTTCACTGCAATAGATGGCAAATTTGTTTTCTAAAGATAAATATATAAACAGTAAAAACTCTCTACCTCACATCAAACTGGATTGTCACAGATCTGTGACCTAAAGTTTCATGAGAAGAAAGATGAATCACTGGGGAACCTGAGCAAATTGCTTTTCCCTACAAATGTCAGGCCAGAATTCCTAAGAACCTCAAGAGTAGGGTAGGGATTTGAGCACACTATAAAGCTAACAGGCTGTGTCAACCAGCAGTAAACGTGAATTTGTTTAACTCTTTTTCAACTTCAATTATAATGCAATGAACAGGTACTTGCTGATGATTGATCTAAGCATTTTAATCATTTTTATTTTTCATTTTCTTTCTGAGCAATGTTTAGAGCTTGAAAAGGCAATACATAAATAAAAATGTAAATAATAATAACCAAAATTCATATGCTGAAATTAAAATAAAAAGCTCAAGGTGGCTTTTTTTTTGAAAATCAATTGCTGTTCAATACTTAGAACTCTACAGAAGCTTAATGATTCAACCTATTTTTACATATCTACCATGACTAGCGACCAATTTAACCACTTCAAGGTTGTGTGAGAATTCAGGCCTTCAACGATTCTGGAATGATTACCTTATAATACATCATTTATCGTGTCCTCCAAAGGTGCAATGTTTTTGTCTTGTATAAAATAGAGTTGATAATTTTTTTTTCCCAATAGGGAAGGGGGAGGGCATTTTTGCAAGGATTACCCTGCAAAAGCGTGAAGTGCAACTTGTTGAAACTCATTCAGTAAAAACACTAATAATAATAACAAGAAGAAGAAGAAAAAATGATGACAACAACAGTAGTAGTAGTAATTAATGATGATGACAACAACAATAATAATAATAATAATAATAATAATAATAATAATGATAACAATTATAGAAATCATAGTAAAAAATATGAAAAAGTAATAATAATGGTAATGGTAATAGTAATAGAATAGTAATAATAATAATAGTGATAATCATAATGCTGATAATAATAACAACAATAATAATAAAATGCTCGTGAATGCCTCAAATGCAATCCTACATTAAACTCTTGTTGACATACACAATGCTAAGAAGAAGAACAAGGAGGAGGAGAAGAAAAATGCTAACAATAACAATATGAAACGTGAATCACAGTCACCGTCAAAAAAGTTACTGCTGCAATTTGTCAATATCAACGCATAACAATTTCGGTAATACGAACCCAAACATCACAACAAATGTACCAAAGTCAAATGTAAACAAGCATTGCATAAATGTACCTGGTATGAAAAAACAATGAAAATAGTGTA